TCGGCACTCGCTTTGTGTTACGGAAAATCCAGTATTGTTTTTTTTTAATATTATTTTTGTATGAAAAATTACTTGCATTCTTGTTTACTGCCTTTTAATGTATACCTATGTCAAAAAATTGACATATTTCTTAACAAATAATACATATCGTAAGAACTGTTTATGATTTAGGTAACGACAAATCATTCAAAATGAGAGAAAGATCACAAAATCTCGGAAGTTATATTTTGATTTAATCTTACACTTTTATAACTCAACAAGTGTTGGGTTAAAAACTAATTATTTCTATTTGTTAGATTTTTATACACTTAGTTATATGGATGCTTTAATAATTAATAAAAAACTAGAATATAAATAAATCGACGACGTTTATTTTGTTAGGTAACAATTAAAATTATTTTGGTGTTCCCAAATACAATTAAGATTATGATTTTTGTAATTGTGTGACGCAGAATCAATTTCAAACAAAAAGGCCTTAAGAAAATTGAAACTACATATTGTTTTGAGTATGATGTTTGAGGTGTTATACAGATATCTAGAAGTATCAAGAAATAATAAGAATTTAATTTAATATGGAGTAAATACATTCAGAACGAGATGTTATTTTTATTTACTGTTGAATTATTGTTATTGTGATTGCAATGTGTTCTTTCAGTCGTTTTCCCAGCACACAATTCTCTAGTTAAAAAAAATGAACCTGAACTCAATTGCAAATGAAATTGGCCGGAACTTTATAAAAGTTACCATGGAATTGTTACCTGAATAATTTTGGTGAAAGTTGTTTACTATACAAAAAGGTATTAAAATATTATAGTATTAATATTCGTTTGTATAGAATTTAAAAATGGCAAATTATCTTTAAAACAATGTCTAATATTTTTTTTACTCAGTATCTTGTACCTATTTGCAAATGTCTGTAACGATATAAATATTCGCATACGAAGGCCTGTTCTGTTTTACCAATATCGAAATTAAGTTTATTTACGAAGAAATTTTTCAACACCTGACACTACCCCTGATGCACAGTTTAAGGATATAATTTTAATAAAACTATAAGAACCTTTCAAAATTTCTTTCGTGGACAGAGTATTCTCCCAGGTCATTAAAAATTATAGATCTCGTTGATTCTAAACTTTAATGCATTAACAGTTAAATTCAAAAACGATTACGGGCTTTTATATTTTATGAAAACGTGATGTGAGTTATGTAAACGTATAAAAATTTGGTATGATATCAATAATGGGATTATCCTTATACCATAGCTTAAAACTAATACAAGCATTGATACGGGTTTCAAGTGGTAAACATAGAAAGTATAAGTCACACACAAGCGGGGCTCTGTTTACACCTGCACCTCTCCACACAGTAATATCCGGTCCAGTTTTATATTGTTTCCACTCCGTAGACCTAAGCAAACTCGACTCGCAGTCGGATTAATCCAATTATACCTATCTACTTTCAAAGTTGGTCTCTATTATCTGAGACGCGTATTCTGTACAAAATTTTCCAAGTTGTAAACAAAGATTACTATCGAAAAGGCAACTCGCGTTATCAGCTTCGTTATTTATAAAAAAGGTGTTTTAAAGTAATTCATTTAAGTGTTGATTTTTGTAAAAAAAATGTGGTTGGTCTTTTAGTGGATGTTAAAACTTTAGCACGTTAAATGAATTATGACTATTACTGGAGAAATGTCGACGGTCTTAATAGATGTTCGGAACATTATCACTTGAATTAAACGTTGGTGACCAACCAGTAGCTTAGATTGGAATTCCTTTCATCAAATTCCATTCTTCACAACCAGTTGGTCAGTTTAGATGGGCGGAGTGGAAGGACAGATTAAAATGTACATCCCAATGACATTAATAATAAGTTAGTAATATTATACTCATTGGTACATCCATTGGTTTTAAGTGTTAATAAGTATAAGACAACAGTGGTTTAAAAAATAGAATTTTATGCCACTAATGTGATGCCAACACTAGACTCAGCTCAGTATTAGCAGCAGGACTCGCTGCACTGATATACTGTTGAGTCCAGTCATGATATCACGGAGCATAAATATAAAAAAAAATATCCGGCTTAAAACAACTACACATTGTAATTTAAAATTAATAACAAATAAAAAAAAGATAAAAAGAAAGAGGTATATGACTCAAAGATATGGCTAAGTAGGATTGATTCATGTGTCTTTAATCGAAAATAATGAGTATCTGTCATTCATAATGAGGAAGTATATAAAAAAAACATTAGTTCCCGACATCAAACAAGATGTCGCTAAAGTACTTTCTTGATTTCACCATGACAATACTTCCGGTTTTTTTTCATGTATAAAAGTAAATTAATTTTCAATATTGAATAAATAACTTATATTCTATTTGTATTGATATCTAAGTTTTGAACTTTTCAAATTTCAGTTTTTTAATATATTAGTTAAAATACTATCTTTAGTCCATTCGTATCCTGCAAAAATCAACTTTTGGTAGAGTCGCTGTCTAGTGAGGTGCTTTTAAGTGCTTTTTTTTTCTTAAAATACTCCCTTATTATATCAACTTTCCATACTACTCTGTCAAGAAAGTACCTATCTGTTTGTTATTCATCCAAATTTATTTTATCACCTTTCAAGTCTGCTCTTTCAGAAACGATACACTTAGGCCAATGAATAATCCAATCATCAAAACATTTTTTAAAAGCTGTTCCCGGAATTGAGTTCAGTTCTCGCCGCTAATTCTCCTTTACATCTTCTACCGATTGAAAATCGATGCCGCGAAGTGGTAATTTGAGTTGAGGAAAAAGAAAGAAGTCGGCTGGAGTCATATCTGGTGAATATGGTAGTTTCTCGATGATATATGTTGAGTGTTTGCTCAAAAATTCATTTACAATGTGGCCTTGTGCGAAGACGCATTATCGTGGTGAAAAAACCCAGATTTTTTTTCCACATATGAGGCCTTTTTCTTCGAATTTGTCCTCTTAAACGCCGCATAACACTCAAATGATATTCCTTATTTACCGTTGGACCATCCAGCAAGAATTCCGAGTACACAACACCGCGATAGTCAAAGAAAACAGTCAACATGACTTGGCTTTTGAACGACTTTGGCGTGGTTTTTTCAGTTTCGGTTCAGCAGGGCGATTCTGTTATAATTCGACGTCATTCATGTCATTTAGTGAAGTAATTCTATTGATTCCAAATTACACAAAAAAAAAATACAAAACAAAAAAGATTGATTATACGTGTCTCAGATATCTTATTCATGTCATTTGAAACTCACTTCGCTTATGCCACGAAACGTCATTACCAATTCAATATTAAGCGGATGCCGCTTTTTATGTGGATTCGGACATCTGAGTGAATTCCAATTCTGGTTTGGATTTTTATAGAATCGCAGGGCTGTTGGAAGGCGCCACTCTGAAGCTTAATGACTAGTTTGCATGTCAAACTCGTAAACCTACATCTCGTCATCAGAACAATGCGTTTCATAAATGTTGAGTCTTAACTGACTCGTTCTAGCATGTCCTCAGCGATTCTCATGCGAATGAGTGTTTGGAGAAAATTCAGGTCTTTTGGGACTAGTCGGACGGAAATATGTTTCAAACCCAAATAATTATTTAAAATGGTACGGATTGATTGGTGAGATACAGAAAGTTCGGCGGCTCTCTCTCAAAGTTGGAGAGACTCTCTCAAAGTTGAAGAAGGAGAGACTCAGAGAATTTCCAGTCACTTTTTCTTTTACTTCAGTTGCAGACGTTAATGGCCTACCAGAGCGAGGCAAATCTTCCATCACATCTCGACCGCTCCTGTACGCTTTGCACCACTCATAAGCACAAGTTTTTGATAAAGTCAATTCACCGTAAGCCTTCTGTAACACTTTCAGTGACTCCAAACACGAAATTCCAAATGCAAAATTTTAGACAAACTCTTTGTTCGATGTTTTTGTCCACTATAAAATTTGCAATATACACTAGATATGATATAACTAAAATAAGATCTGTATTTAATATAAATAACAGATGCAACTAAAACTCCACGCCAAAATAGAAAACAGTTGTGCCAATCTAACAACAACAAAAAAATCAAAAATTTGAATTTGAAACCATAAACAAATAATCCATTCCCGATACTATTTTGACTGAATGTATAACATGCTTAATTTTTATTGAACATGTACTTACACACATTTTCAATAATTCTTTACAAGAAATACAATAATTCTTTAAATTAATATCGATTACCTCCGTGACCGACTCTGGTTTAAATAACTCTATTCTCTTTATGAGTTCATCAATGACAACGTGTACTGCATAGATGCATCCAAGTATATAATCAAAGGAGGCATCTTGATACAGCTACAGTTACTGCTAGTAACCAACATATCAGTGCTTAATGCCTTATTGACAGGGTATCAAGCAGGTTTATTGAATATTGAGAAGAACGGTGGTAGGCAAATGTGATACTAGACATAAGCCTCTGAGTTTGGATTAATATATTGACACAACACATTGCTTCAAGGAGCTGCAAAGGTAACAACAGGTTATAGATAATGATTTCTTGTTATTCCCACTACATGTAAATAAAGTGAGTCGTGTTTTGAGCTAATAGTCACCGATTTGAAAGACAAAATTAACTAAGTAGATAATAAATGCATATCATGACATTAAATTACAAAGAAGTATCATTTAAGTAATAAATGAATATACGCAAAACAGTCAAAGTTTAAAAGGTGGAATAGGCACTTGGTTTGGAATAGGCACATGACAAGAATATAAGTAAATAACTCTATTTATGCCTGCACAGATCATGAAATAACGGATCTACTAATCTCTACGTAATCAGATATATCGATGTACCCTCTGTCGAGTATGATGAGATATATTCTCCTACCACCGTCATCACTATAGTGTCTAAGTGAATAGTCACAAAGACACAGCTCACTCGCTCGTGTAACAGCAGTTTATGATTAACGTACAATTGGATTTCAGAATTCTACTTCTACAGTACGTACCTCTACGTCCACTCCTGGCAAAGGAAACTTTCTTCTCGGCTCAACCTCTCTTGGCACATGCCTGAAGAATTCCTTGCCATCTTTGTACCACTTGACTGAGTATAGTATGTCTGTTGGGCCTAATTGCCAACGGCATTGCAGCTGTGCCCGTGTACCCAGTGGTACATGCGCTGGAACTCGGAGCTCAAGAAGCTCCAGGCTTGCGACACCACAATCTATAAACAAATATAAAATATCTTTTACTATCTCAAGAAACATCAGGCATAATTTGTAGGTGTTATATTTAATTAATAAGAAATCCCAACATAAAGAGTAAATGAAGGAAATATTAATTAAAGTTTTAGTTCTTATAGAATAAAGGGTGGGGTTAGAGTGGAGAAGCCTTTTGATGTATACAGCTTACTAGTTTTTAACGCTTCAAATCAAGTCTAGTATATGTCTATGTATTCGTTTTTAAACGTTCATATTGAGTAAATAATTAAAGTTTTGGATGTTTACTTAGAAACAAATACCCAATATAAGTAAAATACATTAAAATATGTGCTACATCATGACTGTAACCTGTCAATTCAAATAAGCGAGATCCGACTGCAGGATGAGGGGATGCGAGAGGAGTTACAGCGTTATAAATTTCGGAGTTAAAATATTGCACATTATCTGCCTACCGTTGGATAAGTAGTACAAGTATTTTTATTTGGCTGTAGGTAGCATGTTATGAAGGCTGAAATCCATTAAACGGCACGTCAAATAATTTCCCATGTGACGCTCGCTCGCGGCCCGTAAAAGAGGCACTATTGCCCTCGCCCAGCGGATAATATTACTTTACGACCCGCGGGGCGGGGCTCGAATGTAAGTAAATTGGTGAATAAAGACAACGAGCCGGCAAACAGTTATGGCGTGTGTCTATATTATGACCTTATAAACGAATCAACGCTTATGAGCAAATTGTTTGAGATAATATTTGATAATTTTATTTGAAGTTTGACTGACGGATGATTTTTAGTTACCATTGACTTTTGATACAGTCATGGTGATCTTGTTGTCTTTCTTAATCATCAGAAGTAAAAAAAGAAATTCTATTTAATTTGTCCGTATTATAACAAAATTATAATAGGTACACAAACATTACTGAACGTCAAAAATATATAAACCGAAGAAACCGCATAACGAGGTCATCGTAAGACCTTTTACGTCCCCACTGCAGGAGCTCAGACCTTTCTTATGGATGATTAAGGAGGACGGGCAATGACCTTCCACGCTGGCCCAATGCGGATTGGAGGGTATAAGACTGCAAGTGTGGCCGTTAATACCTAGTCAATGGCTTAACTTGCCTTCCGAAGCACGGAGTAGCGCGAGATAATAACTTTTTGGTCACCCATCCCGTAACCGACCCCTGCGAAGGTTGCTTAACAACAACGATCGCAGGCCTCAGCGCTTATCCAATACATCACCGCGCTTCTCATTACGAGGTAACAAATTTTTTTTTGATAATAATTTTACCATTTGTACTGGGCGGAATTTCGACTACTTTGCGACCACATTTTATTTCATATTTCCCATTAGCAAAATATTTATTTATGTATGTGAATACTATATTATAATTGAAGGAAAGAAATTATTCTATTTCATTATCGAACTACTCCAGCTTCCTATTGGTGCATTTACATACATAAAATGCCTAATGTCATGAAATCCGTCATTGATATCATTATTGTACATTATAATCAGAGGTCGGAATTAGGTAGAGTTATTTATGTACTTGCATCGAAATGTTGATATTAATGTGGACCTTCCCGGGATTTCTTTATTTCTTCTTTCTTTATTTCTTTCTTTCATTGATGTAAGTTTGGCAACGTCGTGCGTGCAGTAGTTTAAATTGTGTAAAAGTAAATAACTTTTTATTTAAAAAATCACGGGATTTTTTCTGCTCTTTAAATTTAATCTCGGGATTTGAGGCATATCCACTTTATTCTTTCGCTGTATGAAATCAGTGTAAGTACATGAATAACTCTACCTTATTCCAACCACTGATTATAATAAAACAATACAACGAATTGATCAACTGTAACTTAATGGTAGTAAAAAAAGGATAATTAACACAGAAGATTTATGTAATAACCTTTCCTATCTCTAGAAAGACGATTAATAAATGTATATTATTAATTATGACATATAATAAATACATTCGATATTCGATACTAATAAAGAATCACATTATTGTACCTACCGAATGTTATTAAAGATATGCGATAGATTGAGATTTTGTAAGATCCTCCGGAAAAACATCTGCGAAGATTATATTAATAGCTTAGATAATTGTATCCTTTCTTTTAAATTGGAAGAGAGTATTGAAAAATACATTCCGTATCGTTTCTTAAAAACATATTGAACTATCAAATCTATACTATAATACTAGATGGTCCGATGTACTTCGTATCACCTCTCACCGTTTAAACCTTACATGGATCACGAAGGACAAACATTTGAAAACGAAAATCATCTTAATATATATATATAAAGATTATAAAGGGGAAACATATTTTGTTTGTTTTTTTTTGTCTTCGCATTGAGGCTCCGAAAATACTGGACCAACTTTTATTCAATTCTTGAAATCCGATCACCAATGAACATATGGTACGTTGGCAGAATTTCTGTGCGCAAGAAAAACGTCATAATCGAAAGAACTTAATATAGCATTGTGAATGCAAAATTAATCAAATAATAATTAAAACAAATTTTCATCTTTATCGAAAGTTTAAATATTTGTAAATATATTTCCTTGGGCTGTTTGGATGGATTGCCTGAACATTGATGAAAATACGCTCTGTAGTAGCGAAAAACTAACAAGTGCTTGAAAGATTCGTCAGTCCTGTTAGGTCCTGGGAAACTCAGTGGTCAGAGCACTCGTTCGGATTGCGAAAGGTCATGGATTTGAGTCCCGTCTCAGAGTGTCAGGTACAGAGTGGATTATTTAAACATTTTCACTAAGCATATTTTTAAAACCTTTATATTTTTTTAATTGAAGGACGAAGACTCTGCACGGAGAAGAGGAATGTTGAAGTCAACTAAGTACGCAAACAGAAAATAGATTCGCATTTTTATCATATAATTAAACTTGTCTCAATATGATGAAATAATCATTCAATGGGTATTTCAATAACATCGTTATCTGAAAATGTGTAAGTCGATTCATAGGAAATACGGATGCCTTTATTGTTTGGTATTGTTGACATCTAATCCAAGCAGGATTAGAGGTTGATAACTATACCTTTTGAGAAACCAAACAATTAAGACACGCTTTTATTATTCTAAATACATTTCATTTATCTATTTTATTATATATAAAAGTGAAAACAGAGATGGAATTATATAATTACCGGGACGAGTAGAACGGGCCATATTTTGATATAGACCCGACAAAAACACAACCTTTTTAATTTAATGGGTTTACTTAATAATGAATTATCATCATTTCGTATAAAGCTACTGTAAATTAAGCTTTGCAATTTGAGCATGTCTTAAATAAGATTTAAAGCTAAATTTCGATTTTCCTAGCTCCCCTGACTGATCCCATTATTGAATATGTTTTCAGTTGTGTTTTGAAATTTTCGAGATTTAAGTACCATTAAATATTCATAGTCTTCAAAACGACCTACTGTGAAATTTTAAAAGAATTTCATAATCTAAAAAGAGGAAAAAACATTGCATTAACAGATCTTTATTGATATTCATTTATATAATAATTTAGCACCCAAAAATGTATTGCGCTCAGAAAATAAGCTTAGTGACTTTGATTTAGATTTAAAAATATTAATTCCTTATTTAATTTTGCAATCGCAATGCTTTTTCTCAGAATATATAATATCGTTATATTGTTATACACCTTTAAAATGCGTTACGGACTAACTATTTATAATACATATAAAAAAAATTCTCTATTGTGCCATAGCATTTTTTTTTTATTCATTCAATTTGTGATTCATTGACTTGGACAGCGAATTGAAGACTATTCTGTCACTTCGTATGTTTTGTAGTCCCAACCAATGACGTCTTATTATCATTGGTTCCAACAGTTTGAGTAATTGTTTTTTTTTTCAAATTTATTTCAGCATAGCTAGGCACATGGACTGCTTGACAATATCACGTCGTCCTATTTCCCTAGGAACCCGGCGAATGTTGGCACCGCCAAAATATTAAAACTATAAAAAAATATGGGGCTTCATAAATATAATAACTTCCTTCTCTCAAAAGTTATTGGCCTAGTCGCCTTTTTTGAAAAGGTGGGAAAAAGTGTTCACTTTGGTTTGTATGCGACGCAAGTTTTTTTTTAATGATTTTTATTACAATTTCCCGCGTTTTTTTCTCCATAAGAACTTTTTTCTTATCTGAACAAATATTCAATTAGTTTAGCCGTCCTATAATTTTACACTTATAAGTATATAATAGTAACATATTTTATTAGTATTATTTTGTAACAACACTTCGTTTATGTTAAGAAACTAAACACAATTTTCACAGCTAAATTTAGAATTATAATAATTTATTATTAATAGAAATATCACAGACTAATATAAATTTTTGACATTATTATTTTTAAAGTAATTTCCCTCGAGCTTAGGAAAAATTCAAATATAAAAATGTTTGTAACTTACCAAGGTTTAAATTTTAAATCAGATCTTATAAGTAACATATCGCTGCTAATTAATAAAATGAATGAATGAATAAAATAGTTGATTTGATGTTTTACATCTTTTATTCTATAAAACAATAAGTAATACTACGTAACTATTAACTCGACTTTAAAAGTTTGTTTTTAATAACACTAGCAGTTTTGCCCGTATAGTTTAAATGATGACTTGACAGCGCTTTTATCCCTAGAGAACAATTCAGTGGGATAAAAGGTAACCTATATTTTAATCCAAGTCTAGAATTATACATATACAAAAACTAGCTGACCAGGCGAACTTCGTACCACCTTATACCCGTTTTAAAAAAAAGTCTTATATACAAACCGTGTCATGAATTGTGGAACACTGAAATTAGAATCATCCAATTTGGTGCAGTCGGAACTGGAATTTAGAAGTTATGCGCGTACATACGTTTCGGCGATTCATATTTAATAGCTCGCCCGGAGATTTTTCTTTGTCGATAACTCATTATTAGTTTTTTTTTTATATAGTGTAAAAGACTATTTTTACTTATTTATTTGAATAAG